CCCACTGCTCATGAACTTGGGGACCCAGGGGAAATAGCCGCTGGACGGGGAGATTTCCCTCTCGCATGGGGATGAGGACAAATTCGGACAGGAAGTAGGACGTGGCGCGGTCTTCCAAGTGGTTGATGATGGAAAGGGGAATGTCTTGATCGTCTCTGCCATGATCGCCATGGCTGCTTGCGCTGCTGGTAGAACTGGTGCTCATCAGGCTGTCCAGACTGCTGTTGCTGCTGTTGCTCCCGCTCCGGCGATGCAACAGGGTCATTGCTGACGTTGCCGTTGCCTGCTTGTAAGTCGTGAATGGCGTCTGGAGGCACTTGGCGAAAGATACCTGGGGTAGACTGATGCGACTCTCGGCTCCTGTGGTGTCACCACGCATCTTTCGAAATCGCCTGATGGTTGCCTGTGTCTGGTCACGGATTTTGGCTTCGAAAGGGTCAGAATAGCCTGGACAGTCCCGTTTGGCCTTTTTACACTTCATGCAGAAGGGCTTGGCCTCGTCACACTTGATGCGCCTCAACTTGCACAGCTTGCAGCCCCCAGAAGGCTTTCCCGTGTTAACCATGGTGACGTTGTTCGAGATGTGTATTTTTTTGGGGTTCGGAAAGTATCTAGGCTGGCAAAAGATGAGAAGAGATAAGATAGGTGAGCCAAATCGTTGGCCGGGGTTTCTGCGAACAAGAGATCAGGGAGAGAAAGAGGGACGTTGGGTTGGTTGAAGTATGGACATTTCGATGAAGTAGGAGGCATGACAATCCCGCTGACAGAGCCAGCCGAGTGACAAATGAATCATCCCAACGATGCAGGAAAAGTTTGTCGAAGAATCCGCGTTTCATTCACGGTCAAAGACATTGGCGAGACGTTGTGGCCCAGCAAGACGAGGGGCACAGGGAGGCCTGAAAATGAGATGGTCATGGGCGAAGGGCAACAGGAGCAGAGTCGATGCTTCATCTGAAGTTTTGGGGGCAAGGCTCGACCCACGTAGACGCGACAAGTCGGCAGCGGCCACCAGTTCATGAAACGTTGAAAGCAAGTGTTTCAAATAGTGAGACCAAGACATGTAGTCAGCCGGGAGAATTCTACATAGTACTGGGGGATGATGGACATTGTCCGGCAGACTCATGGGTTTCGACGACGACGTCTGACAGATGGCTGTCTGATGCCTGACTGTCGGCAGAGCGGAGCTGTCAAGTATGCATCAACGAAAGGAGAGAGTCGATCGAGGTTGCATTCTAGCCCCAAATAGCAGTCAGTGTCTGTCGGCTGGGAATAAGGTTGGCGTGAGCCCCGGCGTGCTGGGTTCTGATGTGTTTGATAATCACGGCTGACACTGGTCGGCAGACGGGACAACAGGATCTGCCGATGGACCTGAGGGACACGAGGCCCAGCAGCAGTGCAGGAGCAGCGCTGCTCATTGCAAAGGGCTGATGGTTGCAAAGGGCTGGTGGTTGCAAAGCACTGCTGCTGGCAAGGCCATGGACAGGCTTGACTTTGGGGAACAGAAGGACAAACAACGTGACAACAACGTGACAGCTGGAGCCTGATCTTATCTAATCTCGATCCAACAGTGGGCCCGAAGCCGCGAATTCATCCGTGGCCCCGCTTCCGCTTAACAATGGATCCGATTGGCCAGACACAGCTCTCCAGCTTCTCCCGAGTGCGAGTGCGACTCCGACTCCGACTGCGATTCGACTGCGACACCAAAGGCACCTACAGCCCACACCCACCAGCACAACAAGCTTCGCCTGACGCATTCCAATTTACCAGACAGATGGCTTGTCAAGAAGATCACGCTAGAGGCAGAGACGACCAAACGATTGGACCTTCTTTTGATACCCATGGCACGCTCTCATTGAACCTTTCTGCGGTTGCCTTCCTCCCGATCGCGACATGGCTCGCAATTCATCAGCCCTGCCAGCCTGGTGGCCCCATGATCTGATGAACCGGCACCCCGTCGGATCCATGACAGATGCCACCAAGGCTTTGTCACCCTCACCATATTTGCTGTGAATTTCAGGGCTCGCCGGGCTCAAGTCGTGCCGGTCGACATGCTCTCCTCCTCGCACCCGGACACGCACCCGGACATGCAGCCAGTGCCCCCCCCCTCCCCCCATCAAGGGATGATGACACCGACAATTGCTGTGCCGCCGTACGGTTTCGGGTCTTTCGTTGATTCTTTTGATCCTTTTTGGTGACCCTGTCTTGATCGTCTTGGATATATAGACGGTATGGCGCAAGCTCGATAGTGCTGCTCAGCTCAGAGCCTTTTCTACTTCATCTCGAACTCGGAACCTTTTTCAGTACAGCCGCAAACCCCCTTGATCCCGTCGCAGTGCACCCTGCTTCCCGCTCCGCCCCGCTTCACTGCTT